CCTCAGCAAAGCACCCTTCTTACCTTGTAAGACACCTCTGATCCAGGACTGCAAAACAGAATGGGGGAGCTCTCTTCTTCTTCTTCTGGCTCCAAAGAAGAAAGGGGAGTGAAGTTTCATCAAATGTCTGTGAACAGATGGGTGGGCGATTTCTGGCACAACTTTCTAGGTGGATTATCTCTGAGTCCTTTTCTAGGATGAGTACAGTTTACTTGTTGGATTACAGTTTACAGTTGCCAGGTTCCTCCCAATCCACTGAATCAATACTGGAATGCAAGCAACAGTAGCCACCTATTCACAGCCACTATCCTTTCTCCAGCCAATCAGAGTAGTATTTATCTTCTTTGCATGACATTATCCCCAGGAGACATGCCAAGTACTTGTTATTTAAAAAAAAAAGTTCTCATTAGGAATCCCAGTGTCACAAAGTTCTTAAAGAAGCAATCAAAACTTCAGAGCCCAAAGGCTTACAATATATTCACTTCAGCATTCTATGTAGGTAAATACAAGTTTTGGACAAACCATGGCCAAGATGTAGAAGAATAAGTTCAGTTAATGTAGCTGCTTCATTTCATGTCTTTGTTGTCCATCCTGCTCTCAATATTTGAGAGCGGTAGTTTTGGAAGTCTAAAGCCTATTTTACCTGCCCTTTCTCTATCTCAAAGAGGGTCAGCTGCCAGGATCCACATAACAATTTCAAAGCCCTTGAATGCTCTAGAACAGGGTTTCTCAACCTTAGCAACTTTGAGATATGCGGACTTCAACTCCCAGAATTCCCTAGCCAGTACCCTTGCAGTTTGGGGAATTGAAGCCTTTTTTTCCAGCAACAACTACACTGAAGCCCCCCACCAAGATGACACTTGGTATCCTAAGTAGCAGATCCTTCAAACTGACCCAGAAGCTGAAAATCATGCAAAATTCTTACAGGAATACAAAAATTTTCTTTAAAAAAAATCATCTGATTCTTAGCCTCCAGAAGAAGGGAAATACCTGTGGAAGCTTTGCTTTTGTGGATCGATAGGAATAACAACTTTGTGGAAGACCTACAATTGATCTTCCATGAGACCAATATTTCCATGACCAAGCCAGAGAAACACAGACACAGAAGTCTGACCACTGATGTTTCCAGTCCCTCTGACAGCCAGAAGAAAACTGGCTCTGGAGGCCCAAAGCCTCCAGCCAGATGGGAGTAGGCAGTCCTGCAGCAGAACAGTTGGAGCATGGCAGATCACCAGCATTCTCAGTTCCTCCTCCATGTGCACTAGAATGTCTGCATAGGAGGTCTTCTGCCAAAAGAGCACCAGACAACATTATTTACAAGCTGTAACACTGTAGAGTGGCTTCAGCCTGCCTCAGCAGTGGGCTACGTACCTATGAGATGGAGGCTCCATTACGAGACATGTCCATGGCAAATAGCAAATGGGGCATCTTTATGTCCTGATAAGCAAGCGCTGTGGATGACCTCTTTCTGGAAGACTAAACTGGCAGCCACCAGGAGGCAAATTCCTGAGAGAACCTCTACTATGAAGTCGTTCTTACCCCCAAGTTAGGGATGAATAAGAGGAAAATGAAGCCCATCCATCTCTACATGTTTATCTTTGTATTCACTGAACTGACTTGGATTTTTTAAATTTATATGGAACAAATGCCAACTCTGTATTTCTTCAATATTCCAACTATTTCTTGAAGAATTCCACTATGCATTTTGTGACTACTCTGTTTTCATTAGGATATGCAATGATTGACTCTGCTTTTATAGTTATTTTTACATTTGTTCTGTTGTTACACTGAATTATTGCATCTCTTTTTTGGTCTTTCATACCTAGTTTTCTTCTCTGGTTAAATTCATGCTGTTAAAGCCAACCCTTAGAGCAACTTAGTAGAAAGGCTACTTTACATATCACCAGCAACCATACATCCCTGGAGATGCATGCAAAGTGAAAGTGTATTACAATACTGTAGCTCTAAAAACCAAACACACAAAATTGCATGACCAACAAGAAAATAAAATTTATTCTTCTTTGCATATTATCTGTTTACAAGCAACGTGATGAAAATATATCGACAACCTTCAACACAGTGTGTATGAAAAATTAAGAAGATTAAAGGAAAGATAAATATTCAAATAATCAGGCAAGAGACCATTTGCATACATACATAAGGTTTAGCAGATTAAAAAGGTAGATGACTGGTTTTGCTAGGGCATTATGATACTAATCTTGAGAGACGAACCATTTATGTAAAAGATGTCTTAGTGGAACATTGCTGCCAAAGCCATTCAGAATGAGCAAAATGAGATGGGCAAGATGTAGGTAGCACAGGGAGAAGAATAATTCCATATTGTTTACTCCGCAGGCTATACTTCCATCGACACTGCAGTTTTGCACCAGTCTACCATTAAAAAGCTGTTGATTTCAAGATGCATTGGAGTATCTTCTCTTTCCAATCTAAATAACTTTTTAAATGAGAGTTCCCTGGTTAGGACTGTTCTATGCACACTGACCAGGAGGTAAGCCCAAGTGACTTTAGAATGAACTTCTGTAATTTGCAGCATACCTACTTCAAGACATCATAGGTTTCTGTTGTAACTTACAAAAAATGATAGAAACCAATGGAATATAGATTAGCATAGATGAATATGTATTAGTTTAAAAAAACTTGTTCTTTTCATCAGCTGAAACAAAATCTCCGAAAACAGATTTCAGAGAAGAACAATTACTACTTTGTTTCACTTTAAAGATTATATATATGAAGCAGCTGCTGTTATTATTTCTCATTAAAAAATAGATCTCCAGCTAGTGAATGTTAGTAAAGTTGTTTAAAATTCAATATAAAAGATAAATACCTAACAGTTGCTTAATCTGAATACACTAAAGCATAACAGTATGTTATAGTATTGGGCATCTTACAGTTTTTCTTATCATATTCAACGTTGCCTAATTTGGTAACTCTTTAGTCAAGAGAAAATCCTAGGGAGCATTGTAGGACTTATTCCCAAGGAAGTGTCCTGGGACCGCAGCCTTGTTTTTTAGCAATGAAGTTCCTGGGAAGAATAACATTCCACATACCTTCAGGTTAAACAAAGAGTTTTTTAAAGCAGGCGTGACAGTAGGTTTTATCATTCTGCTCCTGGAAAATGCCATTGTGCAACTGAGTAAGGCAAAAGGCACAGACAAAATGCTCTGGGTGAAACTTGTGCCCCATGGCACTGACACATCGCCCAACAATGGGTTTCCCACAACCGTGGCACACCGTTCCCTGGTGATGATGGAAGTGAAGCTCACAGTACGGCTGGCCGCTTATTTCAAAGAAAGAGCCATCAGTAAAACTGCAGAAACAATCCTGAAAACAGAGGAAAGAAGCCTGCGTCAGGGTATCAAAGATATTTCTGGGGGTGGTGTGTGGTTAGGTTCTTCACAACGCTGCATTGGGCAAGGGCACGTTGGTTGCTAGTCCACTACTGTTTGGAATGAGTACGTTTGGCTGTTGTTTCTCAAATTAATTATTTTCTTCTTGGAATTAAAAGGCAGGACTTTGAAACACAAACCTGTCCAGGACAGAAGCTTACACAAACAGCTGCTCCTGTCCAAGTTTTTTTCAGTGCAGGTATCCAGGTCGATATAAAGACACTCAGGAATGGGCCCACTTAATGTGGAAACGAAGAATACAACAGTTCACGCTGAGCTGCATGATGTCCTGCCCTTTTAACAAAACTAACATGCTGCCACCAATATTTGGATAGTGTGTGTACATGTGTGTATGTGTTCGTGTATAGTGTGTATGTGTGTGTGTATACACACACAAACATACATACATGCTTTGTAGCACAAGTTTAATATCGGATCTTAACATTTTCAGTTTGAGAGACTTCCCTATATCCAGGTACAAATAACAAATTACATAGCTGGGATTTAAGAAATCCCATTATGCGCAGGATTGTGGCCAAAATCTATCTGGAGGGCTCCTTACCCCTGGCTGCACCACTAGCCAACCCCACCACATAAATGTCTCATAACTACCAGCTACCCAAACTAGTACTATTTTTGGTAATTATACATACTTACTCTGCACACAAAACATTCAGGATGCCATACAGCATTCAGAGCTGACAAATACTGATTCATCACAGGACGATCACAGCCTCTGCACTTGGGAGAAAAAATGCTCTGGAAATCTTTCTGGCAGTATGGCTTTCCATCTTTCACATGGAAACCTGTAGAGGAAGGTTTGGGAAGATGATTAAAAGTAGTGGAAAGTCACACAGACACAAAGGCATGCAGACACAAAGGCATGCTCTCTTTGCTTGGAAAAGCAGTAGGAAAGGAACTCTTATTATAGTCCCTAATCTTCAGACCAATTCAACATTCATCTGTTACAACTCTTGGCACAAAGCAAGATCCATGTATCTTAGCATGTAGTCATTTTTATGAGTTCTTCCAAATCAGAGGAGCAGAAGGTTTTGCCATAAAGGCAGGAAGAAACAGGGTAGAGACAGGAGGAGGATAACAAGACGGAGATTTAAGAGACTGGTAGAAAGGAATCTGTCATTAATGGTTTTCTATCAGCTTCCGTACAAGAGATGCAGTGGAAGATATTACATTGCTGGCATTTAATTCCAACTAGATTAGCACGAATGACCCACAGTCAGTCATTCATCAAATTGTTAGAGGGCTTGGAGTCAGAAGGGAACATTTTTTCAGTTGTGGTGGACTTGTGGAAAGGTGGTGTCTTATTGGAAGATACTATTCAAAGAAGTTAGAACAATTACTAAAAAAAAGTAGAATGTGTTCCAGAGTTGGGATTTTTACATATTTTTGAGGGAGATAACTCTAAACTGAACTACGTTGCTAACAGTGCTACAGATGACAAAATTCAGGCTATCTATAGGTATATAAAATATATTATTCTTTAAAGTTTGTTGAATTCTTCCTTTGAAATCATTCATACTGAAGATGGGAATGTTTTGATTAGAAATGGGCAATATCTGCAAAAGGTATTGCCTCAACCAGAATTCCCTGCACACAGCTTCTACTAAGCCTAGAGTGTAGCACACAGTGAGGTAGATTCCAAGGAGAACAGAGACAAAGGAATTGCTGGGTAAATAGCTATTATTGATATGCAACCTGCTTAAGACAAGACTAACAGGAAGAAAACAAATAATGAAGAGGTCTTCTAAATTTAAGAGCATAATTACATACTGTGTGAAGTGTGATGACAAAAATAGATATCAGGTAATTTATGTTTAATAGATATTTTGGATACAGCTCAAGATAAAACAGACTCAACTGCACTTGTGTCTTTACATGCTGAAAAAACTCTTGATATGGTCTACATTAATTATTTTATGAAGGCAATGAGTAGATATGGGTTCCTGTTTGCTATTATTAAGTGGATGGTAATTCATTATTGGCAATAAAGAGTCATCACAAGCCAGTTGATTTCAGATGCACTTGAGTTACAGGATGGTATTTGTCAGGTCTGCCTGCTTTCCCCTTTACTTTTTTTTTTAATTCTGGAACCCTTACCAATTTATATTAGGCAATCTTGTGATATTACTGGTATCACACTGGCAGGTTTTAAATATACATTATTTTTATTTGCTAATAATATTTTGGCAATTTTAGAGAATTATTCTATTTCATTGCCAAATCTTATATGGATGATTCAACATTTCAGTAAGTACTCAGGATGTAAGATTAATTGGGATAAGTCATTTTTGCTTCCTTTAAATTCTGGTACATCAATAGTACAATGCAAAAAGTTAGGTTTTGTAACATCAACAGATTATATTAAGTATTTAGGACTTTATATTCCTAAAAATAGTGTTAAATATATAGAATTAAATATATTAACAGTTTTAGAGAAGGTTGCCTTAGCTATTAATAGATGGATTAAAATTCCATTAAGTTGGTGAGGTAAATTGATGTTATTAAAATGAACATCACTCTACCATTGACTTGTGTTTTCAGAAATATTCGAACGTTAATTCCAAATAAATATTTTCTTCAAATTGATAAATTGTTAAGGAAAGTTACAGAAGAAAATAGACCACCTGGATTGTATTAGCTAAACTGAAATTATCTTTTGAAGATGGTCCTTTTAATTTAGCAGATTTTCAAAAATATAATTGGGCTTATATTTTATTGACTATATCTATGTGGAATGAAAATTTAGCAAAGCATCAACCTTTGATGGCTTTGTTGGAAAGTTTTTATTCAGTTCCATTAAGGTCCTTGCAATTGCTGGGACTGATACACAGTTGAAAGGGAATTTTGTTTCTGGGATAGTTTGGGCTCTGTTGGGTTATAGTTTGGATTTTCATGTTGAGGCCCATGAATATTTAACTTTATGGAATAACTCTGTTTCAAAAATAGGGTGCAAAATGTTCCACTGGAAATTGTGAGCAGAATCTGGAATACATTGTTTAAATCAATTACTTTGCAATGACTATTTTAAGGGTTTTCCTCGACTTCAAATAGAATTTTTTGGAATATTTTTTTTTCTTCTTTTATATGTTTTCCTTTCTTTTTCCCCATTTTTCTGTATTTGTTTTTATAAAACTTGTTAAGATAAATAAATAAATTTGATTAAATAAATAAAAAGGTTCTACTGCCAAATCAGAACCAATGACCTAGTTGGTGTGAGCTGCCAGCATCCAAGAAGAGAGAGAGAATTCTTTTAGACAAGTCAAGTCTGCTCATGCCATTGTCAGCTTGCTACCATTCATACTGACTAATAATATAATTCAGGTCATTGTGGGGTCAAATAGTGCTTTGCTAAACTTCTGCAATTCTTGAACGTGTGCAGCGCAAGAAAAACAATCCATAGTTGCACAAGGCAGCTATTGCACTGGAATCTGAGCCACCACACCAAAGATTAAGAAACTGCTGCCAGTGCAACAAGTACACATTTCTGAAAGTTGCTTCTAAAAGCATGAAGCAATAACAGTGAGCAAGACTCAGGGGAAACTCTCCCACATGGCCAAGAAAGAGAGAAAAGTGGCCTTGACTTCCTTAAAAGGCTTACTTAGAATCCAGGAAGGAGCTCATCTCTAAATTGACCCATAAAACTTTTTGCATTTTAGTTCTAATTAGGAGTTTGGGGACCTGAGATGACTGCTATGGGCTCAGAGATCCACTAGGAGCTAATTACTGGATCTCAATTCCTGATATCATATTAGAGCTAGTCTATGATTGAATCCCACAGGGAGTGTGCTTATGCTTTTCTGATTGTTGTTTGTCAAGAAGAAAAAAAAAAGTATTTGTAGCATGGTACCCAGGAAAAATGAAATTAAAACACTCTCATCAGTGCTCCCCTCTGATACTCTCTGCATCAGCTTACACTCAGGAGAGGCAAAACACATTAAGAGAAAACTATGCTACAGGCATCCATTAGAAGAAGAGAGCTTCTGCTGTTACCTGGTGATCATACGTACATGCATACATGTTATGCTATTTCCTTAGAGGGCAGGCAACATTATATAACAGGAGGAAAAAGAGTAAGAAATAGTAAGCCAAAGAAATTGAAGGCATGAGGTAAAGGAAAGAAAACAAGGCTGCAACTACTTTGTATGACACTATTCACTATGTCTCCATACTTTCTATCCTTATGAACCATCCTTCCTTCCATCGAGTCCATGTTTCACTTCAGCCACTACTTTTTGTTCTTCAAACTTTTCACCTCCTCTTTTGAAAAAATGATAAATTCCATCCAACCACAACTTTCTCTTACTACTCCTTTCTTCCAGGGCAGTCACTCTTCCTTCACATATTTGCTTTATGGTTCAGTCCTCATCCATTCTCCCTGTATGACTGAATGACCTGAAGCACTTCTTTAGCACTGATCTCTCACTTTTGTATTCAATCCACATTCATTAAGCACCCATTCATTCATTCATTCATTCATTCATTCATTCATTCATCCATCCATCCATCCATCCATCCATCCATCCATCCATCCATCCATCCATCTTTGACCCTATCTTTTCTTGTTTACCATAGACTTAAGTACCCCATTTCCTCTGCACTCATTTATATACTTCTCCTTGCATGCCAAATTCTGACTTCCATATAACAACAGTGGCTGAAGCATACATTTATTCACAGCCATTTTTGCTTCTTTCACCAAGCATTCCTCACTCTGTCATACTGGTGACTTTTCTAGTGACATTTGCCCACCTTAAAATTTCTCCATCCATTTTCCCATCTGTAGTAAACATTCTAGCAAGATATACAAATTCATATACTTCCTCAAGTTTTTCTTTGGTTGTGTATAACATTGAAACACTTCCAGCAGAGTTGGAATGGGACATTTTGAGGTAAGAAGATTTCCACTTTGAAGTGTTTCACACTCATCTATCTAGATTATATCTATACCAATAGATAAAGGCATTAAACAAGCTTGCAAAAGCTAAGTCAGGAACTTTAGGAAATAATGACGCACCATCATTTCCAAACACAGTCCCACAATGTGTGCAAAAGAAATGCTCAGGATGCCAAGTCTGATCCATGGCTGTTAGGATTTTCTGCAAAAAACAAAACAAAACAAAACAAGAAAGCATTACTGGAATAATATTATATATGGCAAAAAAAAGATGGCAGGCATGAAGGGTGTATTGCCAGCTTGCTTCTACTCTGAATCAGAGCCTCTCCAGGGGTTTTTGGGGGCAAAGCTTCCATTAGACAAACAGAAACATCTACATTCGGCAGCAAATCCCAGAGGACAGCAGCGAGGTGCTGAATTGCAAAGCTATGGGAACTTTGCAGCCTCTCCTGCAGCTCCTCTTTTTTATTTACTTCAGATGTGGTTAAAGAAGTTTTCACATCATTAGTGCTGAAACTGCAATTCCACTGTTGCTTAGGCAGCTTTGGTACATGCAACGGGGAGGGCGGCACCATTTTATCTTTAACCTCAGATAGCTAGACATTTGGGACCAGTTATGAAGGCGGTTGATCGCCCGAAGGCAGAGACAGTGGTACATACCTCTCGGATGGGCGCAGTACAGTAAGCACAGCGAGGAGAAAAGAGCTGGTGATAGTCTTCTTGGCAGTATGCTTTGTTGTCCCGCTCGTAGAATGGCAGGGAACCCACTTCTTTTCCACACTGGGCACATGTGAAGTGTTCAGGATGCCAGATCTTTCCCAGAGCTGTAACCACCTAGAATTCATTAAAGGATTAGTAGAAGACATTGGTTAAAGATACTTCTCTCTCTCCAGTGCAGACTCTCTCCCCCAGAAGCTACATATTCCCAAAGGTGCTGTTTTTAGTCAGGGTCCCCTCATTGGCCTAGCAAGCAACAGGACCTCTTTAAGCTAAGACATAAAGATCCTCAGTAATATAATTGCAAAAGAAGAAATTCCAACTTGCCTTGTCGGCTATACATGCCATGCAGTTTGAAACTGTGACAAATAAGCAGTTGTTCATAGCAGCCTCAGTGAGACTGAGAATGGTCAAAAAAGCAGATAGATCCACAGTTCCCACACCCATGCTTACCTTTCCAGCAATGGGTTTGTGGCAGGAAGCACAGTTGCCCTTAGGCACAGTAGCAACACCAAGGTCCTGCATATCCTGAGTCAAGCTCTCCAACATGCTGTCTAGGTTGCCAGCGGTATTCTCTTCTGCTGAGACTGACTGGCCAGGAGTAGCCAGGCCATCTGAGACCTGCGGGACAACAAATAATTTTCAGCTTTCTTTCTGTGTAGCTTTCCCTGCTTCTAGAGCAGGGTTTTACTGATCTATTAACCTGCATCATTCATACAATTTTATAAAACATTTTAGATTATATCATCCTATACATATCTCTCACCTATATCCCCACATCTTTTCTTTCCTGAAAAAAAAATGTTTGGAACAAACAGAACCATGTTTATTTGAATAGCAACTCTAAGAAATCTTAATTATGTAGAGATGGAAGGACATGGCTCGGTGTCCTGTTTTGTTTTGTACAATCATCTGTACAAAGCTTTTAGCTCCCCTAGCATCCTATGCTCAAACTACACCCCAAAAGATGACATTATGAAAACCCTGTTGCATGGTTCTTTCCTGGATCTGAAGCATAGGCAGTTGGGGAGGCTGCAGAGCAATTAAAGATGCAGGACCATGAAAAAAAGCCAAGAACAAATTGCAATAATGAAATAAGCCAGATATACACAGAAGCAAACAGTATAAATACACAACCACTGTGATAAGTAATTTAAAGACATTCAGAACAATAGTACTCATAATAGCCCCCATTCTCACTTCCCAAGTTTTTTTAAACCCTGTGCTCTCCCTTCATTATTTTTTCCTGTCAATGTGTCTCTGAAGTATGCAAGTGACTTGAATGTAAGCAAGCTACATCTTCCCCTAAGTTCCTATGTTGGTGTTTCTCAACCTTGGCAACTTTAAGATGTGTGGACCTCAACTCAATGCTGGCTGGGGAATTCTGGGAGTTGAAGTCCACACATCTTAAAGTTGCCAAGGTTGAGAAACACTGTGCTATGTTATTCAATTGCAGTTCTAAATGCTCCTTAGACAGAGTGCAGGTCTTAGGAGTTTACTGCAGTCTGTACAAACAACCACTGCTTTCATTTCAAAAGGTATTTGGGTTAGAATCCCATTATTCACCTTGGACTGGATTGTTCCTAAGCAAGCCAAAAGATCATCCAGCTGCTGAGCAACTGAGGTGGAAGGCGATGAGGATGCCACTGGCTGTGGAGGTAAAATTTTGCTGTAAAGGAGACAAATGTTCATTTATGATCAACTAAATAAAGGGAATAAAAAAGTAAATTTTCATATTCTTGCATGTACTATTGCCCCATCTGTCATTATACATGGTACCTGCCCAAAAAACAACCATTTCAGTTATTTACTTATTGGTCTCAAAAATTTATCTCAAACTGTGCCTCAAGTTTATAAATGGCAAATCCTGTGAATTGTTTGCTGTTCCACTGTATTTGTATTAGGCGAACGATAATTCAGTTCTGCCTCTTACTGATTTTCTGTTTTCTGTACTGACAGATTGGATGCATGTGTGTAGGACAGTCCAATTTGTGAAATGCTGCAGAAATGTAATGCAATATGTGGAGACCACACCTTTTTCATGTCATTTAATTCATCTGGCTTTTGCTTAGGTGACAGACTGGCAGATCAAAATATTCCTTTCATAAAGCAGTTGAAACTTCTACAATAAGGAAAATGTATTTAGCTGCCACACTCAACTTTTACTCTAATGTCTGAACTAATTTATTAACTTTAAGTCACCCTAAAATTTTCTGGTTAGACTGGCGTAAAAGTATATTATGGATAATAATTAAACTATTTTTTTCAATATCATTTTCACCTGCTCTGAAAGCCAGAAATTACATTTTATACTTAATCATCCATGGGTTCTTGGAAATAAGGGTGAATAATTTCCAGCGCTTGATATTTCTGACTCAGAATATATTTACATTCAGCCTTGTGAGTACACATAAATGTTCCTCCTATTTAAACCCTATTTAAAATACCAACTGAATTCCCTGTTTTGAAGATTAATGACATTGTTATAACCATCAGTTTGATTATATTAACACTTAGAGATTCAAATAAAGTGACTCAGTTGTAGCATCCTACTAGAAACCGATCATATTTTGGAATTAATGACGGGGGAAACTGATAAATTTGTGTGTGGGCAACTGGCTATGCATACTCTGGCAGACATTTTTTGATTAAGCAAGCTCCATCTCATTCCAACAAGGTGCCCACTACATTCTATCAAAATGTAAAATGTGCCTTGGCAACTCCAACTTATAGATCAGTGTTTTTTCAACCTTGGCAACTTTATGATGGGTGGACTTCAACTCTCAGAATTCCCCAGCCAGCATGTTGGGTGGGGGATTCTGGGAATTGAAATCCACCCATCTTAAAGTTGTGGAGGTTGAGAAACACTGCTATAGATAGTGGCCATCTATTGGGCAAAAGCCAGACATAATTACATTGGTAAATGTGATAAGAAACCTTTGTTTAATCCATGGGAAATGGCTTAAAATGTCATATTGCTGGAAATGACCTTTTTGTAATGAAATTGGTCTTTCTAATTTCTTTTCTCAAGGATAGACAAGTGAGAACAGTGATAGAGGTTTAGAAGACATGAAATGCAAAAAGGTAGTATAATTTGAGGGCTGTTTATCTTTTTGCTGTAGTAATAGTTACCTGTAAATATTATCTGCATCTTCTTTATGGGTTTGAACATTGTGTGCTGGTTCTACCTGGAAATATATATACAGCAAATATGTATAAGAATATTGCCCAGGCCCAAGTCGCTGAAAAATATGCTTAGTTTCTAGTTATTATCCTGTTATCAGTTGATAATTTTAACCATCAGAAAATATTGCACTGCCCTGTTCTTCTAAAGCAGGCTCTGAACCATTATCTCTTATTCTGGAACCAGCTCTTCTACCTGCTGTAATGGTCAACTATGTTCCAGATGCAAATTGGAGAGAAACACAGGTAAACTGACTTCTGAATAAAGAATCTGGACATCATGAATCGCCTCTTATTCTAAAACAGTCTCTAGTTAAGGAGGTCTGATATATAAAATACATCAGCAACCAAAAATTAAATCAGATCAATGTTTTAGCTCACCCAGTATTGCTCAGCAAAATCAAGGTCTGTCAGAGGTCTTTCCCAGTCTGTTACCTACATGTTGTAATCCAGTCTTCTTCAACATAATGCTTTCCAGATGTCCTAGGACTACAACTTGCAGAATTCCCATGGCCAACACCAGCTATGGTTCAACAAACTGAAGTTTATTGTACTTCCTATGGGAGATCATGGTGACCTGTCACCAGTCAGTTGTCACTGTTCTTTCCTGCACTGTTGTTTGAGAAATAGGTTTTTAAAAGGCTGCCCAGACAGCTTTGTTTCACTTCCTTGCACTTCTGGGCTCTCACTGGAAGAACACTCCTAGCTGTTGTTTCTCCATCTTAGTGATGCACTGGCTAGATTGCACAAAGGATTCCAAGCTCAGGGATCCCTGACATGCTGGCATCAGTACTTTCAAAGGGGATGGATCCCAACAAAAGGGAAAGGCACAAGTGTATTTATTTTCCTTTTACTATTAGAAGAGGGGGAAGGATGTGTTTGACACAGACCTGAGGATAAGGAACACAGTAGCTGGATAGTAGGCAAATCCCAAGTGCTTTACAGTTTTTAAAATTCAGCTATTGAGTAAAAAGAGTGGGGACTGATTAGTTTGTGATTCCCTATATGTAAATTTGCCCCATTCTCAGAGAACTGGAGTAGTCAGAACAGCTCAGAATATCAAATGGGCTTTGAATTAGAATAAAAAGAAAGTTTGGGAATGGGAGGACTGGTAATCTAGAAATACCATTTGTTCTTTAAGGACACTTGGCAGGCGCTCTTAATTTTACAGTGGACTTTTCCATACCTAAACCATGTTTTATATGTTGTAACTTTTTAGCATAAATATTTTTAAAACTATATTTTATTCAATTTTGCCTTGAATTAAAAACATCAGCAGTTATACATCAGGATAGCGATGAACCAAGGGCTGGAATGAATTTTCTAGTAGGGTCAAATTTGTGAGCACTTCCTTCCATAACTTGCAACTTGCTAAGACTTATATAGCTTAAGGAAAATACCTTTTTGCCCTCTTGAGCAGCTGATTTTGTGTGTTGGGTAAGATGGATTTCCGTTGTTGTTGCCACTGGTTTTGCTTTGCTGTTGTCACGCTCCAAAAGAAAGCAAACATTTGGGTCTGAGTCATTCACACTCAGACTCTCCGAGGTTTGTTCCAGTTCTGCCAACAAAGCATCTAAACAAAACCATTATAGTTGAAATATATGTCTCTCCATCTGTCTTTGTTTTCTTCAAGCCCTTTAGTATGTGCATCCCATCTCACTGTGAGCACTTTAGCAACAAAAGAGCTCCATTGCAGTTGTAAAACTACAGTGTTGCTATCAAATGACTCCTTGATCTACGATGGCCTAGGTTGGGACAAGCAAGAGTGGAGGAAAGGACCTCTTGCTATCCCAGATTGCTGCCACTATAGAAAACACTGGATTATACCTTGTAGCAGAGAGAGGCAAAGAAGAATTGCTCATAAATTTTGGGGCTATTCTATGCTTCCCAGAATGAATGTATTCATGGAAAAAGGTGGGCCCAAAAGCTAAGTACAGTATAACCAAGGGACGGAAACCTTAAACTGCTATGATCCAGTAGGAAAACATGAGAAAAGGGAGGCAATAAAAGTCAGCATCCACACACATACAGAGTGCCTTGTGGGGCCAGTCTTGTCAATATAGTCATTAGAAGCTATGTAAAGGATACAGTCCAGTTGAAATAAAGCATTTAAATATCTAAAATAATTCAGTGAGAGGAGAGATACTTCAACTGCTGCCATCACTGTCAACTGATATTTGCCTTAGCAAAAGATATAAAAAGCAAATTTGCTTGTTTATATTTTCTCAGAAAAGCAAACACCAATATAGTCACAGAACACTTCCACTCTCAGAAACAAAATGCTTGCCTTTATTAAGATTTTTATCTAATCCTGTCCTGAGTGCAGATTGCTATATAGGCTTCAAGAAATATTTTGGGTGCACATTAATATCTGAATTTTAAATAGCAGTGTATTTTAATTAGTGGCCTCTTGTCCACTAAATAATTAAAGAGTATGTGATATCTTAAAACATATATCCCTATTTTAAATGGCCTCTTTATTATTTAAATCAATAAACCAATTTTCTCTTTTTCTGTTTTTGCATGCATGCGTATATCTTATATATGTATACATATGCAACCTTCTCAGAGCTATCCTTTCTCTGTGTTTCCTGGGATTATTCACCTCATCTTCTGTTCACAGTTAGCCTGTATCTGTTGCCCCTCCTAATAATTCAGTCAGATAGTAAGGCTTACTAGATTTCTCCTCCTGCAGGCAACCCACTTGTCTTGTCAATGGGCAACTTCTTTAAAAGTCTCCTCATCATTTCTGCTTCCTCAAGAGGCCTTTTGGTTACCTGTTTTCCTTCCATTCATGCCCACCATTTCCCCACACTTAAAATATGTCTGTTGGATATCCTATGTGGCTTTCCCCATCACAAAGTCATAGAAGGGAGAAACCATAAAATAAACTCTTGCCCTTCTACTGCCTGAGGACAGCAGTAAATAATGCACCCCCACACCCATCCAAGTCAACCTTCCAAGACCAACTCAAAGTGAGTTCCATTATTATTGGCAGATAATTCCATAGGCCAGCCTCATGATGCCTGGCAGTAAAAATTATAATAACAAATTAAACAACTCACTATCTGCTGCCTTTTCACACTATTTAAAATCTACCACCTCTTTCTAACTATACAACTGCTATTTACATATGTCCCAAATTATATTAAAGGTCAGCCTTTCATGTTAAGCTAGAAACAGGAAAAATATATAACTACGTACATGCAAATTTAACCTGTTTGTTTTAGATTGTAAAAGTCTGGTAAAACACCATGTACCCTGGTGGCTTGAATGTTGATATATTGCCTGAGACAGACAGACATGTGGATGTTATCAAGCCACTTTCATATCTCAGTACATAAATCCCTTTATTTTTAAAGGTTTCTCTCATCAGTTATCTCTGGTTATTTCAAACAAGGATTTCCAGCTGTTTCTTAGACTGAACAAATCTTCTGATAATATATCCTCAAATCTGAAGACAGTAAACTTCTGATCTGGCTTGTAAATTCTGGCTAAGTAGCAAGTGCACTATCTTGTATAGGTGATGATTTAATCCTACAAATCTGTATATATTATAGAATCAAAAATAATATTTTGAAATAATAATAATTATTGTTATTATTTTATTAAACTTGTATGCCACCTGACTCTCAACAACTCTGGGCAGCTCACAACAATCAAAGAAATTACAATAAAATCAATAAAAGATAAAGGATGGCAAGTGCAATGAAGTGAGGGGACTCCCTCTCCCTCACCAAAGGCATGGGTGAAAAGCCAAGTCTTCATGGCTCTTCTAAACAACAGCAGAGTGGGGGCCATCCAAATCTCGGGGGGAACCTCATTTCAGAGGGTAGGTGTGCTCCCAGGGCCCAATAGATGTCATTGTTAGATTGAAGGAACCCAGAGAATGCCAACCCAGTTCACTACCCAGAGTTACAATTTGCAAAATGGCTGGTTATATAAATTGATATATAAATAATCTACTCCTGAGCTGGCTTCTCTGATTCAGCCTTGTTTATCCTCCTAAACCTCTCTATAGTTTTTACTACCATCACCACAGTATTCACCTCAATTAGCATGGAGCACCTCAATTCTTGCCTAGGAATCAGGTTTCAGAAAAGAGCGCAGAGACTATGGAAAGTGTTACCAATAGAAGAGAATATGTGTAACTCAGGTTTGAACTGTGGAGTCCTTGGAGTTCTCTGAGCTTGGTTGTTTGCTTGCAGACATTTTGTTAACTGGCTGGGTAACATCTTCAGTTACCTAGCCAGGTAACAAAATGTCTACAAGAAAACAACCAAGCTCAGAGAACCCCAAGGACTTTACTGAATGGGAAGTGTATCTCTTTCTTCTCTGTCCCATATTTTTTAACAATGGTATTAATAGATTGTAGCAGGTCTGAATTCCTTGGTGCCACAAAGATCTGCTGCTACCATATTGCACTGACCAAACTGAAATTAAAGGAAACCTTCCTGACAGGAATTGGAATAATGCAGGCTGCCTGTTTCATCTTCATATCATGTAGCTGATCGCTAACCCCAAAATGAATTTGGTGGAACAGAAATGAGATGAGTGGCACACTCTTCCTTCCAATCAAAGTCTCTTTAAGGTAATAATTGCATTTTAAAATATTGTAAGTCACTGTTAGTGGTGCTTTTGCACCACGAGGATGACATTAATTATTTTAAAATCAGGAACGGGTTGATTCCAGATTTGATCATTTTTCATCTTTTAAAATATATATATATAAAGGAGAGTATATAGGGCTACCTGCATGCAAGACATAAGGACAGGTAGATATAACATTAGAATGACAGAAAAAATTATAGTGGAATCATCCTATTATTTCATAATGCTGAAAATATAAGAAAAAAGAGTGTGGTAAAATGCTATTTTCTTCAAGAGAAATAAGGTAGAGGGGCTTCAGTCTGTGATGTCTATTAACTTTTAGTGGCAATAGCTGATGAGCCAGTGGAAGTGAGGCTAGCACAGCAGAATCAAATTTAAAAACATAATTCTATATTTTCCTAGCTCTATTTTGATTACAAAATGTTCATGCTTTTAACTTAAATAATGTCTGTTTTTCCCTTGCCTAAATAATCCTATATTTACTGCATTACTTGTTATCACATTTTAAAGTATAATTTTTCAAAAAAAATTCCTGATTCAAAAATGAAGATAAGTTTCTTTTTTTTTAGATTTTTTATCCTGCCTTTTTTATTTTTATAAATAACTCAAGGCAGCGAACATATCTAATACTCCTTCCTCCTCATATTTTCCCCACAACAACAATCCTGTGAGGTGAACTGGGCTGAGAGAGAGAGTGATAAATTGATAAGCTTCATCAGTTTCTACTAAGTTAGGTTCTAAGTTCCTCCAATGTTCTGTTCCAACTTGAATTCACCTTCTTGGACCAGCAACCCAAATGGGTTGTGGTGTTCTGCAGAAATCCAGCCATTATGGTTTGAGGAGGAACTGTACCTGACATATTCTTACCTGTCAAGCAGCTGTTAAAGGCATAAAGCCTCTGCCTTGTGCTTGAGATTTTCTTTCCCTCTTCAGTTATTTCTGTTCCTCCCATTATGCACAAGATGAAGATTACAAACCCATCCCTTCAGTTCTTATTCTTTTGCTATACTAAAAAATAATTACTTACCTAAATCATCCATGGCCTATTTCCACTGGGTCTTCTTGCCTGAATCTCTGACAGAGAAGCAGGTTTGTTGAGTAATGGAAGGGGAAATGAGCAAGATAGTGAGTGTGTAGGACAGTACTTTGCGCAGACTTTTTCAGTTCCTCACTGTAGCTGCACTTCCTCCCTTTAGAAGCTAAAGTTTTTTTCCCCTACTGCGGGTTACATCTTAAGCAGATTTTTAAAAATTGTACTGAAATGGTACAACAGGAAGAGATGTATATCTGATGTGATCATTGTGCAATCTTTCCTATATATAAGAATTAGTACATATCATCATAGACACTAAAACACAGATAAAATACAAAGCATACCAATTAAACAAAAAACATTTATAATATAAACTAAGCATACGTAGGTTATATCCAGCAACTGCTAACAGCTATTGCTATAGCACAAAATTTGCTCACTTTTTGGGAAGCTTCATAATACTGGTCATTTAATAGGAAATGCACAATTGTCTGTTGGGACAAGTCCAAATAATTTGTGATTAACATGGTCTTCCAAGAATGATAAATAGGACATTTCAGGAGTATATGCACAACTGTCTTAATTTCAGTGTCTGAAAATATGTATAAGGATTCTTGATAGCAGGCTTTATTAAATTATCTCATTACACCACTGAGGGCATCCAGACACGTCAGTGTAAGTGCCATTCTGTGTTAGGGCCCAAGGATACGCTAAAAAATTTGGGAATCTTAAAAAGCAGATATGTGAGCTTATTATAATAGAGATGTAAAATGTTAGCTCTATCCCTTTGCCTATTTTTTTTCTGCTTGACCTCACTTTAGGCTTTACCTAAACCCAGCATAAATAAAGATTGGGGGGATAAATTCACAGCGAATCAGATCAGATATAATTTGATTCCTCCACAAAGAAACATGTCAATCAATACATGCTGGGCTACGGGTTCACCCCCATATATTGGTTTAAGCCAGTATTTTAACTGGCAGAGCCTCAAACAGGCCTCAACAGAGACATATCCAAGTTCTACCCGAAGATGCATATTTGCAACTGAGCAAGGGACTTGGAGCACACATCTCAGGAATTTAGATTGGACTCCTTCTAGTGCAGGAATATCTTTATATACACAACATCTTCACATACAGCAAAGGACTTAGTATTTCAGCGTTCAGTAGCTTAATTGCTGCAGGCATAGAGTTATTCCCCGTACAGCTCCATATCAGGTTATTGCACTGCAAGCTTTTTGTGCCTGCAGCATAAGGTCTGAAGACTGAAATTTCCAGGAGGCAGAGGGCTGAAAATAAATGCCTAGATATTTGAAAGCCTTCATAGCTGCTCTCGTGAAATATTGCTCGTTGGCATGCCAAATGGGTGGATCCTGCTTTCATTCTATCTTTGGGGCAATTTAAAATCCTTAACTCATGAAGTTAAACAAGTATACAATCTTTTCTTTATCTAATACCCAGCTGGAAGAGTAGCTGTACTCACAGAAATATTAGCTTAGTTATTTCCTCCAGACTTTATGTGACTAACTCCATTCTTGTGTTTTGTTTTGATCCAGTAGCCCTGGCTATTGAGCTGAAAAATGCAATTTTAAATCTGTTATTAATATATACCACCCTCTCCACCCCCCCCTCCCCGCACACACACACAAATAACAATGACATCTGGGACTATTTTGAAGACTGGGTGCTGGAACTGACAGCTCAGTTACCAAACTCAGAAATGGCCCGAACATTTAGATGCCTTGGATGGGCTCGGGTGAGGAATCTTGTTTCTAACACTTTCATGCTCCATATGTACACATAACTAATTTTTTTTTTTTTTTTTGCTCTCACTGTTCTGAGGATAAGGGTATTAACATACAGGGATGGAGACTGACTCAAATGGTCATTAAATTTAGGCTCCTAATATTAAATAATGCAACTCCAGGAGACTTTGAGGGAGAGCTCACTTTCTGGAATAGGAGAGGCATTAGCATTCTTGATTACATTCTAATTGCCTAAAAATTGGCTACCCGCTGCATAGACTTCATTGTCACCTCTCTTTCCAATAGCAAAAGCC